TCACCCATCGGGAGACTCGTCAGCAGACAACGCCGTGTGAGGCAAAGGCTGAGCCGGGGGAGGCGCGGGGAGGATGGGAAACGCGGCAGCCGCAACCTCCTGTTGTCCTGGAAGAGGACGGGATGGGGAGGGGGAGCGGCCCCATAGTGGGGAATTGAGGGGGGCACGTTAACAGACTGGGGAGAGATCGGATCCAGTCCGATAGATGAAGGAAGAGCACTGGAAGTTTTCCCAGTTATTGTAAGCAGTGGAGGAAACCCTGAGTGGGTGCCTCGAGATCCAGAGGGCTGGAGCCTGCCAGGCTGCGTGGAGGAGCGAGGCTTGAGCTCAGCCCTCCCCCTGCACGCCTTAGAGGCCATGACATCCGCAGGCCCCCTTCCTGCTCACAGCATAATGAATTGGATGCGCAGGGTGCTGTCGCCGGTACAGCGTACACTGTGGTGCTCAGAGTGGATGGCAGGATTGCGAGCGGAACCAAGCCCAAAGCACCCACTGCACGGGTCCTTGCTGATGTGCTTGGCAGGAATGGCCAGGGGGTGGAAAATCCCCAGGGACAAGCAGCTGGGCTCAGAGACCAGGGGAGTTTATAGGGCTGTGGATGCAATGATTCAGGTGTTTAAGAGAGTAGCCAACGGTGTGGAGGCAGCGGAGCCCTGGACCAAAGTGACCCAGGGGCCGATCAATCATTCTCCTCCTTTGTGGACAGACTCTTGAAAGCCATAGAGGGGTCAGAACTCCCAAAATCAGCGCAAGGCCCAGTTATGATGGACTGTCTCCAGCAACAAAGCCAGCCGGAGGTTAGGGAACTTTAAATTGCTCTGCAACTCGGTACGCCTGGGGAGATGATCAGATTTATTCTGGGTAAGCAAAAGACAGCATCTCTGACCAACGAAGGGTTTGCGGCGGCCGCTGTCACTGCAGTTGGAGCGCAGGTTCTGTGCTGCCGGTGTGGCCAAGCGGGCTGCATCCAGGTAAGGTATGGCCACCCTCAGCAAGTCTGCTGATGACACGAAGTTGGGAGGATTGGCTGACAGCCTGAAGGCTGTGCTGCCATCCAGCGAGACCTGGACAGGCTGGAGAGCTGGGCAGTAAGAAACCGGATGAGGTTCAACAAAAGCGAGTGTAGAGTCTTGCATCTGGGGAGGAATAATTGCGTGCACTGGTACAGGTTGGGGGATGAGCTGCTGGAGGGGAGCTCTGCGGAGAGGGACCTGGGTGTCCTGGTGGACGACAGGTCGGCCATGAGCCAGCAGTGTGCCCTTGTGGCCAAGAGGACCAATGGCATCCTGGGGTGCATTGCACAAAGTATGGCCAGCAGGTCGAGGGAGGCAATCCTCCCCCTCTGCTCTGCCATGGTGAGGCTTCATCTGCAGCACTGCGTCCAGTTCTGGGCTCCCCAGTACAAAACAGACAGGGATCTCTTGGAAAGAGTCCAGCGGAGGGCAACAAGATGGTGAGGGGCCTGGAGCATCTCTGCTATGGGGAAAGGCTGAGTGAACTGGGTCTGTTCAGCCTGGAGAAAGGAGACTGAGAGGGGACCTGATCCAGGTCTATAAATATCTAAGGTGTGGGGGGCAGAATGGCGAGGCCAGACTCTTTTCAGTGGTGAGTGGAGACAGGACAAGGGGAAACGGCCGGAAACTGCAGCATAGGAAGTTCTGCACCAATGTGCGAAGGAACGGCTGTGCAGTGAGGTGAGGAGCACTGGAACAGGCTGCAGGGAGGTGGGAGAGTCTCCTTCTCTGGAGATGTTCAAGACCTGCCTGGATGCCGACCTGTGCGACCTGCTGTAGGGAACCTGCTTTGGCAGGGGGGTTGGACTCGATGATCTCTGGAGGTCCCTTCCAACCCCTACAATGCTGTGCTGCTGTGCTGCTGTGATGCTGTGCTGCTGTACACTGCCTGGCTGCACGCAGTGCCTGAGTAAAGGAGAGGATGCAAGGGGAAGAGACAGCAGGGAAGCGGCAGTGGGAGTGGAACCGAGAGGCCCCAGGTCCTTCCCAACTCCCTCAACCTGGGCCAACTCCTCCCCTCAACTTCAATCCCTGTTCACCGTGATGCAAGAGAGAGAAACTTCGTGTCCTGGAAAGGGTGAAGAGGGGTGGAGAACACGGCTGGTGGGAAACGCTCCTTGGATGGTCACCAACAGTGAGAGGGGTGTTAAGTTCCACACTGCATCTGGTTGTGACCTTATTAATCCTAACATTAATGTGTTTAGTGCTTGTCATCATGTTATATGTGAAGGTCTGTCACCTTCATATGCACCTTCATGCTGAGACAAGTGGCCCGGCTTGAATTACCTAAGAATGTGGCATTTCACCCCCTGCACAACCTGGGCTGGAGCTGTTGGGCGGCAAGCGAATAACGGGCTGCTATGGAGCAAGGCTCCGTGGAGCGTGGGGAGGGGGAGCTGTTGTAGCAGGCGCTAACGAGGAGTCGGGATGTGAGGCGATTCCCCTGCTCTGTTTTGGAAATCATGATGCTCGCTTTAGGGGCGTAGATGAAGCATTTAGGGTATGTAAGTCGCTGTTCAATAAACGCCATTTGCTGCATCCTCATATTGGGGTCTGTGTCGCAGTGGCCCTAACGAGGGCAGATGGCCCCGATGGGATGCACCTCGATAACAGGGACAACAGGGGGCTGGGGGTTCCCATCCTGTTAAGGCTGCAGGAGGATTTGGGGTCTGATCCTATAAAGGCTGCAGGGGAGGCCAAGGGTTCTGGTCCTATAAAGGGTGCAGGGGACACTGGGGGTTCCCATCCTATAAAGGCTGCAGGAGGGTTGGGGGTCTGACCCTATAGAGGCTGCAGGAAGTGCTGGGGGTTCAGGTCCTATAGAGGCCACAGGAAGGTTGGAGGTTCCCATCCTATAAAGCTTACAGGACAGGTTGGGGGCTCCTATAAAGGCTGTGGGGGGGGGGGGGGCTGGGGGCTCTGATCCTATGAAGCCTGAGAGAGGCACTGGGGGTCTGATCCTATAAAGGCTATGGGGGGGGCTAAGGGTTTCCATCCTGTTAAGGCTGCAGGAGGGTTGGGGGCTTGATCCTATAAAGGCTGCAAGGGGGGCTGGGAGTTCCCATCCTAAAAAGGCTGCAGGGGAGGCTGGGGGTTCCCATCCTAAAAAGGCTGCAGGAGAGTTGGGGGTCTGACCCTACAGAGGCTGCAGCAGGGTTGGGGGTCCTGGTCCTATAAAGGCCACAGGAAGGTTGGAGGTTCCCATCCCATAAAGCTTACAGGAGGGGTTGGGGGCTCCCATCCTATAAAGGCTGCGGGAGGGGGGGGGTGGGCTCTGATCCTATGAAGCCTGGGGTGGGATGGGGGGTGGATCTTTACAGTCCCCTCCAATGGGGCGCTGGTTTTATGGATGGGGATGTAGGGACACAGAGCAGATCAGGTGCGACGTTCCCTTAATTGTCACCAGGTAATTAATCATCACCACATAATTAACAGAGGGCAGGGTGCCGTTTCTGCTGCACCGAAGCACAGGTGCCATTCTGCGGCGCTCCAAGCCCGTCTGTGAATCCATTAGGGCTCATTTGGAGTCGTTAAAAAGAAGGGACCAAGGTGTGGTATGGGGCATTCTGCATCTTTTGTGAATGGAAACTTCCTTCTTATACCCTGGCAGGAAAACAAAACACACACACACAAAAAAAAAGTGGAAAAAAAGACAAATTAATCTCAGTTATCGGAGTCTCTTAATGAGCGCGTGTGAACAGGGCTGAGTTATTTTTACCTCTTCCACAGTGATGTAAGCTTGGGAGGGGGGTCACCTGCTGCTGTCTTCGCTGAGTGAGTTATTTCTGCATCCCATAATACTCTGCTTGTGGTGAATCGTTGGACTTTTGTCGCTTGCAGCCTGGGTGCACTCCTGATCATTGCGAGGATGGGACAAAATGCGCTAGGACTCACAAAATGGGATTCCTGGTGAATGAATGGCTGGAATTGAGCTCTCTGGAGAAGAACTTGTGGCTCCCGGTGGCCAACGCGGTGACGGTGAGGCAGCAGTGTGTCCTGCTGGCCTAAATGGCCAAAGGTGCAATGGTTGGCCGATGGCTGACCAAAGATTGAGCAACAGCTGACCAACATTTGACCAACGGCTGTCCACAGATTCACCATGAGCCAGCAGCATCTCCTGGTGGCCCAGAGGCCAATCTTGTCTTGGTTGACCAGTGGTTGACCAGCAGTTGACTGATAGTTGACCGTGAGCCAGCAGTGTGGTCTAAAAGGCCAATGGTGTCCTGGTTGACCAACGGTTGACCAACAGTTGCCCAATGAATGACCAGTGGTTGACCAAAACTTGAAAAACTTGTGAGCACAGTGTGCCCTGTCGCCCAGAAAGCCAATGTTGTCCTGGTTGGACAATGCTTCACCATCTGTTGACCAACAGCTGACCAACAGCTGACCAACAGTTGACCAACAGTTGACCAACGGTTGACCAATGGTTGACCAATAGTTGACCAACAGCTGACCAATGGTTGACCAATAGTTGACCAACAGCTGACCAATGGTTGACCAACAGTTGACCAACAGTTGACAAATTGTTGATCAACAGTTGGCCAACATTAGACCACGAGCCAGCAGCGTGCCCCATTGGCTAAGAAGGCTGACGGTTCCCTGGTGGGCACATCACAGAGTGCAGCCAGCAGGACAGACTGAAGGAGGAGAAGAGAAAGGGGGGAAGAGAGAAAAGAGAAAAGGGGAAAGAGGGAAGAGAAAAAGAGGGGAAGAGGGAAAAGGGGAAGGGGAGAGGAGCTGCCCAGCTCCGCTCTGCGCTGGGGAGGCCCCATCCGGAACACTGGGCCACATTTTCACCCCCAATCCATCGAAGCACCCCCTCTGCACACAGCTGTTATTGGAGACCATCGCCTCGTTCTGCCGAGAGCCTGCTTTGCATACACTGTGCTGCGATTATGAATATTTAAACACTTCTATCTAGTTAAATTTCTGCCTCATTTGCATACATTGGCATACTGCTTAATATAACGCACACGGGGAAGAGGGTGCGTGTTGCATTTTTAATTTCCCTTCGAGAGGAATTGGTTTTACGAGTGCCGAGAAGCTTTTTTTTTTTTTTCCTAAAAGAAAACAACTTGTTGGAGGTGGGGGGAGGGGGATGTTAATTAACTGTTTGATGGGAAGAGCTGGCAGAACTCAAACCCTGACTGCACCTTGCTCTCCTGTGCTCCTTTTGCTGATTTGGCTGCAGAAATCACAAATGGTTCCAGGGCAGGGAAGGGTTTGCGGCTGACCATGCGGATTCTGCCACATCAGATTTGCTCTATAAAACGTTTCCAGCCCTGCAAGGGAGGAGCGTGCTGCAAAGCAACTTGTCCTATGTGTTCCCAGAACCCAGTGATTGGCGTTCCAGATGTTCCCAGAACTCAACGATTGGTATTCCAGATGTTGAACAGGCAGGGAGAAGTGCACCGGGCTGCTCTTGGCTTCTGTGCTGCCAAACACACAAACTTCCATGAATCTGATCTTAAATGTGGCTTTTAGCTCTTTTTTAAAGGTTCTCTTCCCCAAAATTCCACTGGCACAGACGTGATTTAGGGGCACTGATATCAGCAACTGCATTGCTCCTCTTAAAGGAGAGATCTGTGGGGTGCAGGAGGCTGTGGTGATGCTCAAAAGCTGCCTGAACTTTCAGGACCCGTCCAATCCAACCATCCCATATTTCTATGATCTTCAAGGACCATTCCAACCCAAATATTCCGTGGTTTTACGATCTTTAAAGACCCTTCAAACCCGTCCTATGGGTCTACGATCTTTCAGAACCCTTCCAACCCAATGATCCCATGGCTCTATGATCTTCCAACCCATTCCACGATTCCATGATCTTTAAGAACCCTTCCAATCCATCCTACGGCTCTATGAACTTTAAAGACCCTTCCAATCCAACCATCCTTTGGTGCAGTGACCTTTGAGGACCCTTCCAACCCAACCATTCCATGCTTCTGTCATCTTTCAGGACCCTTCCAACCCAACCAGTCTATGATTCTATGACCTTTAAGGACCATTCCAACCCAAACATCCTATGGTTCTGTGTTCTTTTAGGACCCTTCCAACCCACCCCATAGTTCCATGACCTTTCAGGACCCTTCCAACCCAATCATCCAATGGCTCTGTGCTCTTTCAGGATCCTTCCTACTGTGCCTATGCCTCTCTGGTCTTTATGCCCTGCTTTCACACCCTGCAGTGCCATGGGCACGCTTCCAGCCATTCTCCCACTTCAAAGGGTAAATACGGCTCTATCCCAACACACATATGTGTGCTTTGCAGCCAGCTCCAGCCAGAGCTCTTCCCGTTGCATTATTCACAAGCCCTCCAAGGCACAGCAGCCAGCCAGCTGCATATTCATCAGCAATACTACATTATTCATGAAGTGTTGGCTTACACTGAGGGGGAACACAATGCCAGCACGGAAGGCAAAAAGCTGGAGAGCAGAGGGCTGTGCCCTGAGACTGCAGAAAAACCATAAAAGAGAGCTGGGGGTTCTTTGTTGGAGCAATTTCTCCTCTGGGAGAATGGTGATGAGTTGGTTGCAAGGAGGGGTGGGGGGTCCAGAGCTGCACATCCAAAACTAAAAATCCAGAACTCCAAATCCAGGGCTCCACATCCAGAGCTGCACATCCAGAACTAAAAATCCAGAACTCCAGATCCATTGCTCCACATCCAGAGCTCCAAAACCAGAGCTGCATATCCAGAACTCTGCTTCCAAAGGTGATGGATTTTCCTAACAGCGTTTGGCCCTAAAACATCAAATTAATTGGAGGCTGTGGCAGGAAACTTTGCTGCCACTCTCGACTGTGGACTGGTTGGGTTGGAAAGGTCCTGCAAGGTCACAGAACCATGGGATGTTTGGGTTGGAAGGGTTCTTAAAGCTCTCTACCACTCCATACCCCATCATCGAATGGGTTGGAAGTTTGTTGTTTTGTTTTTAGGGTTTTTTGTTTGTTTTGTTTTAATTAGGGGTGGTTGGCAGGGCTGTGCTGGGTGGGGCTGTGAAGGAAACAAGCTTGTCTGGGAATGTGATGGCGTTCAGCACAGCTCCGCGGGGAGCCGCAGCGCGATGGGGGCCACCAAATATCTCCCCCCAGTGACTTCCAGGCCTCACCTCTCCGTCACAGATGAATCCTGGGCCACATATCCCCCCTCCCCCACCACCAAAGACCCCTGGGCCACCCTCCATTGACCCCCTCCCACCCCACATGCGCCCCCTCAGGGCCCTTCGAAGCCCCTCGCTACTGCAGTCCTTGAATGCTGCCCCCCCAAAGCCCTGACTGGACCCCCCCACTACTCTACGATCTGTTCGAGGGTCCCCGTCGCCCACCTGCCGCCCTCCATCTCTTTATTCGGCACTCCCACCTCTCCCCCGTCTTAAGGGCTGCGGCCCCTTTAAGGGCGCTCGGCCCCGCCCCCTCTGCGTGATGACGCAGCGCCGTGCGTGCGGCGCCCACTTCCGGCCCGCCGCCCGCCGCAGTGACAGGCAGCAGTCAGAGTGCGGCGCGGGCACAGCGGGACCGCCGCCCCCCGCCGCCGCCATGAACGGCAAAGGCAAGCACCGCGCCGCGCCTGGGGCAACGCCGGGGGTCACGCCGCGCCGCCGCTGTCACCACTCGGGGGTCGTCTTTTAAGAGGGTCGCGGCGCCTTTAAGGGTCGCGCCGCAGCAGCGGAACGGACCAATAGGAGCGGCACTGCGGGGGGCGGGCGCGCGTGTTGCCATGGTGATGGGCGGCTCGGCCGGGGTTTAACCCTGTGTGCGCCGCGGGGGAGCGCTTGGGGGGGAATCCCCGGATGACGTCACGAGGGGTTGCGTTCAACGCCAGGGGGGAGGGGCGGAGCGGAGACCCTCCCGGATGAGGAATGGGGGGTGGGCCGTGGGGGGGGTAAGGTGAGGAACTGGGGGGGGTTCTCTCTTTGCGGGGAGGTTGACAGGGACGGGGGGCGTTGGGGAGCCCCGCGTGGGGGATGGGACGTGGGGGGGGGTGCGTGGAGGAGCGATCATTGCCTCCTCTGGGATTGGGGGGGAGGGTGGGAGGGGGGCTGTATCCAATGTCAGGGGGTGAATGGGAAGGGGAGACCCCCAGAGGGGCAGCGGGGGAACCCCATGGCACGGGGAAAGCACCCCCCGGTACAGGGGGTTCCCACCGCGTATTGCTGGGGATTGGACCCCACCGAGGCAGGGTAGGAACCTCCCCCCCTCCCCCCCACCGCCAAACAAAGGGGTCAGAGCATCCCCTCCCCCACGGCACTGCTCCCCGTGCTCTGCCCCATAGCCCAGCATGGCACCCGAAGACCCTGGGGCTTAGCACCCCACGGGATGGAGGGGGCCCCCCTGCTCTGCTCTGGGTCCGCTATAACCCCGCAACCCCCCCTGCTTCCTTCCCCCACCCCCAGAGTCCGTCCCCCCCCCCCCCCCAAATGCCCCAACCACGGCCCGGAATCAGCTGCAGCATTCCCAGCAGCTGCCCTCATCGCTGCGGTTTCATCACATTTCTTCACCAGACTTCCCCTTTTCCCCATCTCCCTCCATCCAACGCAGCACCGAAACTCCAGAATTCCACTTTCCAGTGACCAGAACCTTCCCAGCGTCCCCAGCGGGGATTTGGGGGCTGTGTGTGGGTCGGGCTGTGACCTCCTCTCTCCCCCTATAGGGCAGTACCCCACGCAGCCCTCCTACCCCGTGCAGAGCGCTGCCAACCCCCCCGTGTACCCACAGACTGTGCCCCTCCCGCAGCCCCCGCCGTACACCGACGCTCCTCCTGCGTACTCCGAGGTGAGCAGAGTTTGTTTTCTTCAGAAATAATAAGGATTAAAAGATTAGAAAAGAAACCAAAACCCACAAACAAACAGCAGCTCCGGGTACGCTGATAAATGCGTTTCCTCTCTGCCTCTCTGACTTTTTGCTGCCCTTAATCTTTCTGTAGAACTGAAGTCTGAGCACTTTATTTTTGTTTTTTGGAGCAGAGGTGGCACAGAGCCTCCGGGTGCAGAACGGGGTGGGGGGGAGGGGTGAAGAAAACAACAGGGGGGAGGAAAGGGGGGGAAATATGCACTAGAACTCAGGGTGGGGGGTGGCAGAGCAGGAGGTGAAAGTCCACCTCGAGGCTGAGGAAGCAGACGGGTGTGTGGGGCCATAAAGCCTGGAATAACGCCCTGCCTCGTGACTCTGTGCAGCTCTACCGTCCCAGCTTCGTCCCTCTGGGGGCTGCCACCGTCCCCACCATGTCGGCAGCGTATCCGGGTGCCTCCGTCTTCCTGCCCGTGGCCCAATCCGTGGCCGTGGGGCCCATCGGTTCCTCCGTCCCCATGGCCTATTACCCCGTGGGACCCGTCTACCCGCCGGGCTCCACCGTGCTGGTGGAAGGTGGCTTTGATGCTGGAGCGAGGTTTGGGGCTGGAGGAACCGCCAGCATCCCTGTGAGTACAGACTGAGCCCCAAAAACCTGCAGGGAGGAGACGTGCCTTGATTTCTGACCTGGGAGGTGGGGGGGGTCACAAAAGTGCAGCTGCAGGCTGACTGTGCCCTGGGCTGCATCGACAGACAGGGGGCAATGGGGCAGGGAAGGGGGTTGTCCCCCTCTGCAGTGGGGCAGGGAAAGGGGTTGTTCCCCCCTGCTCTGCCCTGGTCAGGTCTCATCTGCAGTGCTGCCCTCAGCTCTGCCCCTCCCCCCAGCTCAGAAGGGTGGGGGGCTCTGATCACCCTTCCAACCCATCCCCCCTATGGTTGGTGACCTCCCCCTGCCTCTCCCCGTGCCCCCATTCCCCATCCCAGTGCAGCTGGGGATGCTGTCTCACCTCCCCCCCCCAACCTTGCATCTCCTTCAGCTTCTGAGCCCCTCCCTCCTCCATGCTCTGTGTTTTGCAGCCCCCCCCTCTCGGCTGCCCCCCTAATGGTTGTTGTCCTCCCCCTGCCTCTCCCCATGCCCCCATTCCCCATCCCAGCACAGCTGGGGATGTTCTCCCACCCCCCAACCTTGCATTCCCCTGAAGTTCTGAGCCCCCCCCCCTCTGTGTTTTGCAGCCCCCCCCTCCTGGCTGCCCCCCCAACGCAGCACAGCTGGCCGTCATGCAGGGAGCCAACGTTCTGGTGACGCAGAGGAAGGGCAACTTCTTCCTGGGAGGCTCAGACGGTGGCTACACTATCTGGTGAAGAAGGAAAGGGGGCTGGGTGGCGGCGGCGGCGGTGGTGGGGGGGGGGATTTTAGGGTTAGGGGGTGGGGGGGGGGCCTACGTGTGTGTAAGGAACCGTCAGCACTTCTCACCGTGTCACTGCTTCCGTCCCAAATTAACCTGAGGCGGCAGAGCCGAGGTGTCTTCCTGCTCCTGAACCCCACCGCGGCCGCCATCCCTCCATGGGGGTTTGGGGGGGGGGGGCGCTCAGCACCGCTGCCTCTTCTTTCATCCCAGGGGTTTTTTGGTTTCTTTTTTTTTGGGGGGGGGGGTTTGGAGCGGAGCCCTGGGAGCTGCAGCTCACAGAGCAGAGCTGCAATGCATCCCTCGCCCAATTCCCTCTGCAGACCCCCCCTCCCTCCCTCCCCCCCCCCTGTGGGATCCCAGACCCCCCTCCAAGCACGCTTGGATTTCTTTGCACATTTAGGTCTAATCAAAGCCGTGCTTTGGTGCCAGAAACACGATGCAACTCCTGTCGGAACATTTCATTCGATGCTAACTCTGCTTTTAGATGATGCTTAATAAGCAGGTTTTCCTCCCCCTTTATTCCCCCCCCCTTAATTACCCCCATTAACTCCCCCCCCTTTATTCCTCCCCCCCTTTGTTCCTCCCTTCCCTTTATTCCTCCCCTTTACTGTCCCCCCCTTTAGTTCTCTCCCCTTTATATCCCCCCCTTTTATATCCCCCCCACCTTTATATTCTCCCCCCCTTTATTCCTTCTCCCCACTTTACTCCCCCCCTTATTCCTCCCTTCCCTTTAGTTCTCCCCCCTTTATATCTCCCCCCTTTTATATCCCCCCTCTTCATATCCCCCCACCTTCATATTCTCCCCCCCTTTATTCCCTTTATTCCCCCCTTCTTAATTACCCCTCATTAACTCCCCCCCCTTTATTTCCCTCCTCCCTTTATTCCCCCCCATATCCCCCCCTTATTCCCCCCTTTATCCCTTCCCTCATTCCCTCCCCCCTTTATTCTCCCTCCCCCACATTCTCCCCCCCTTTTCCTCCTCCCTATTTTTTCTCCCCCCGTTTTTCTTTGCCCCCCCCCCCCCTTTCATTTTTTCCCCCTTTTTCAGCTCCTGATCCCCACCCCACCCCACTGTTGTCAAACAGGGGCTGCCCCCCATCCCCACACAGTGTCACAGCGTCTGGGCTGTGGGTCACTATAGGAACACACACAGCAAAACAGCCGGGGGGTGCGATGGACTCATAGTAGGGCGATGAAAAACATTTCAGGGATCCTCAATGTTTCCTTTTTGTTGTTGTTGTTGTTTTACGAAAGAAAGAAAGAAAGAAACCAAACAAAGCTCAGCATTCAGATCTGTTTTATCAGGAGGTTTCGGTTGGGTGTAAAATCGCGTCCCTCTGTGTTGTGTTCGACCATCGACCGACTGTTAAAGGAAGATCCGCGTTCTGTCTCTCTCTGTATTCACTGTGGTGCACTTAACTCGTGGATTTTTGGTTTTTTTTTTTTTATACTAAAAAAGAAGAAACGAGAAAAAAAAAAAAAAAAAAAAAAAAAGAAGTAGAATAAAGACTTATTTTGAAAATTTGAACGCCGGAGAACGTTTGCATCGCTTCCCCCCCAGCCCCAAAACCTGCGTGGCTTCCTCCCATCCCATGCTGCGGCGCTGCTGAAGCTCTTCCCCTCTGCTGCCAGTTTCGCAAACTTCCTCCTGCTTTGGCTTCAGTTTGGGGCGTGATGGGAAGGAGGTTTGCTGACGGCACCCAGCTGAGCGGCTGGAAGGAAGGGATGCCGTCCAGAGGGACCTCGGGAGGCTGGGAAGGTGGGCAGGGTGAAGCTGATGAGGTTCAGCACGGCCAAGGGCAGAGTTTGGCACTTGGGCCGGAGGAATGGCGGCATCCATAGAGATGGAAGGAGATCCTTGAGAGCAGCCCTGCACAGAAGGACCTGGGGGTCCCGAGGGATGAGAAGCTGAACGTGAGCCAGCAGTGTGTGACTGCAGCTCGGAAAGCAAATGGGATCCTGGGCTCCAGCAGCAGAGGGGTGGCAGCAGGGACAGGGAGGCGATCGTCCCCCTCTGCTCTGCTCTGTGAGAGTTTGGGGTGATGGGGGCACAAAGGGGACAGTGCCAGAACTGAGTGATGGGGACACAGAGCCACAGACTGGGGAAATGGGGAAACAGAGGGGACGCAGAGTTTGGGGTCACAGGGACACAGATGTGGGGACACCGAGGTTGGGGGGTGGGGACACAGTGCCACAGCGTGGGGAAATGGGGAAACAGGGGACACAGAGTTTGGGGTCACGTGGAGACAGATGTGGGGACAAGGAAGGGACACGGAGATTGGGGGGATGGGGACACGGTGCCACGGGGAAAGGAGGGGAAACCCTTGGGGGTGATGGGGGGAGATTGGGGTCACAGGGGACACTGAGAAGGTTTGCGGTGAGGGGGACACAGAGCCGCAGGCTGGGGAGATGGGGACCAGATGTGGGGACACAGATGTGGGGACACACACAGAGATTGAGGTGAGAAGGACAGAGCGTCATGAGAAATGAAGGGGACACAGAGGGGACACTGACAGAAAGGCAGGGAGCTGCTGGAGAGGGTCCAGAGGAGCTGGAGATGAGCAGGGGCTGCAGCACCGCCCTGCAAAGCCAGGCTGAGGGAGCTGGGCTCGTTCAGCATGGAGAAGAGAAGCTGAGGGTGAGCTGAGTGCAGCCTGCAGTGCCTGAAGGGAGCCTGCAGCCAGGAGGGGAGGCAGCTCTGTGCAAGGGGAGATGAGAGCAGGACGAGGGGAAATGAAGTTGAGGGAGGGCAGATGGAGGTTGGATGTCAGGGAAGTTGTGTGCTGTGAGAGCGGTGAGGGGCTGAACAGCTGCCCAGAGAGGCTGCGATGCCCCGTCCATCCCTGGAGGTGTTGGAGGCCAGGTTGGATGGGGCCCTGGGCAGCCTGGGCTGCTGTGAAACGTGGAGGTTGGTGGCCCTGCATGGCACAGGGGGGTTGGAGCTCCGTGATCCTGGAGCTCCCTTCCAACCCCACCGTGCTGTGACTCTGTGATTCGCCTCCCAATTAGCCACGCTAATGAGCCCGCCATGCTAATGACCCTGCTGCTAAACCCAGAGCAGAATCGCTCGATTGTGTGGCGAGATAAGGCAGAACAACAGCAATTCTTGCAGCGTTTGTCACTGGGCTGTATTGAATTCACCCTAGGGAGGGGATGGGGCGCGGAGCTGCAGGCAGGCAGCAGCATGCCTGGCCTTCACCTTCGTCTGCCTTAATTAATAAATTACAGAGAAAAAGAAAAGAAAAGCTGCCAGAGATCGGACTCAGGAGGTTCAGGCGACGTGAGATGGACCCTATATGAAATATTCCTCTTTCTCCTTGGATGGCTCATCCTCCATCTGCACGGCCGCCTCCTCCTCGGCCACTGGCTGCTCGTAGGTGAGGTAGCTGCCCTTGTTTCTGTACAGGTAGATGACGATGACCACCAGCACCGTCAGCAGAGTGAGGAACACCAGCGTGATGACCACTGATGGGAGGAGAGGAGAGGAGTTCAGCCCCATGCGGTGTATGGGGAGCACTGGGGGCGGGGGGCAGCCCCTACCTGCGATGACGGCCGTGTTGGCTGCCTCGTGGGGGGCTGGGGGGTGAGACTTCTTCAGCCCCGGCGTTATCAGCTCTTCTCGTGGAACGGCAGAATGGTTCCAGTTGGGTTGGATGAGAGCTGTGAGGTCACCCCCTCCCACCCAAGTGCGTCCCCACGTCCCTGCAGCTCTGTCAGCCCCCCTTTCCCCCCATAGGGATGGTGACCCCCTTCCCCCCCCGGCTGCCGACCCACCCCACCGTGCCCACTCGTAATTCAGATGGGACGACACCTCTGAGGTCAAATCCGACCCCAACCCATCCCATCATGTCTGCTCGTGGAGTCGTTCAGGTTGGAGAAGACCTCTGACAAAGCACAAACCCCAGCTCAGCCCGTGCCCCGAGCCTTACCTGGGGGGAGCGTGGGCAGAGCCCCCTCCATGGCATCGGCGTGGCTGAGCTCGGCCTCAGGGCTCCTTCACAACTGTGGAGAGAAGGAAGGGACGCGGTGAGCGCTGCCATGCGATGGGCCGGGAGGGGAGCAGCGGGCGTCTGGGGAAAGCATCCGCATTTCGCCTTGTGCTCTCCGAGGTGAACTTCTGCGGGGCTGCAACATCACCTCCCCCCCCCCCCCCCCTCCACCTTGCACAGCCTCGCAAATCGCACACCAGGAGCTGCTGCAGCCCCAACCGCTCAGCAGAGCTCCTTCCCGTGCACCGACCCCATCCAACCAACCGCCTCTGCGACCCAGAAAGCAGAGCCGCGCTGCTGCAGCCCGGGGGCAGCGACTCGTGCACCGGGCACCGAGTGACTCAGCGCTCTGCAGAGAGGAGCCGCTAGATGTCAGGAGCAAATACAGCTCCCCCCAAAAAAGAAAATCCATCGGTAAGAAGAGCGAAGCTGAGCGGCAGGAGGGAGCGGGGCGGGCACGGCTCACCGCGCCGACCGGGGTTTGCAGAGCGCGGAGCAGCGCTGGCGTTGCTGGCCCCGCTGGGACTCGGAGCTGCTCGGCTCGCTGCTCCCCGTCCTCCTGCAGCGCTTTGGTTCCCTGCTCGCAGGGTGCAGCCGTCGGGGCTGCAGGAATTCGGCCCAGCCTCTGTGCTGCTGTGTGCACGCACTGTGCTCGCACCGCTCCCGTTCCAGCAGCCCTCGCCGTACTGTGCCTGCACCATGCCTGCCCCATTCCCATTCCATTCCATTCCATTCCATCCCATTCCCATTCCCATTCCACTCCTATTGCTATTGCCATTGCCATTCCCATTCCATTTCCATTTCCATTCCCATTCCCTCCCCATTCTCATACTCTCAGCTCTTGCCCCACTGTGTGCACAAAACATTTTCACCCCATTCCTATTCCAATTTCTCTTCCAATTCCCTCAGCCCCTACCCCACTGTGTGCAGGCCCTGTGCCCACCCCATTCCCGTTCCCATTCCCATTCCCATTCCCATTCCCATTCCCATTCCCATTCCCATTCCATTCCCATTCCCTCAGTCCCTGCCCCACTGCACGTATGCTCCATGCCTGCTCCATTCCCAATCCATCAGCCCATCCCACTGTGCACATAACATCCTTGCTGCATTCCCATTCCCATTCCATTCCCATTCTCATTCCCATTCCCTCAGCTCCTGCCCCACTGCGTGCACACAACATTCCCACTTCGTTCCCATTCCCACTCCATTCTCATTCTCATTCCCATTCCCAGCAGCCAAACCCTATTTTAACAGGACCCCCCCAGGCTGCAGCACAGCACTGGCCGGTCCAGATGGAGACAAACCAGTGCTAAACCAGTTTGTGGGGCACAAGGCAGCCGGTCCTGCAGGCGCTGCACGGCTCTGCGCTGAGCACCGCGTGGGGCAGAGGTGTGGGGCTGTGACTGCAGGGAATGAGCTGTAGAGCTGGGAGTGCTGACGGGATGGGAAACGCTCTCTTGTTTGCACTGCTGGGTGCAAAGGGGGTTGGGGGAGGGCTCTCTGGGTGAGGGTTTGCTACGGACGCGGACGCGGCGCTGCTCTTTAGTCCCTGTAACCTCCCTGGAGCCCTCGAGTGCTTCCTGCAGTGCAGCCATCCCAAAAACTCAACGCAGGGGATGCGTGGCACCATCCCACCCCCAAACCCAGGGGATGGGCCCACGGCCCCACTGCCTTCTGCTCCGTCTCACGGGATTCCCCCCTCTCCTGACTCAGCGTTTGCTTTGCCCTCTGCAGGGCTGAGTTCCACCTGAGCTTCTCCATGAGCAAAACTCCATGCTCTGGATGCCCACCACCCCATACCCACCTCCCCATACCCACCACCCTACACCCACCTCCCCATACCGACCACCCCATCCCCAAAACCTCACGCACTACACTAAACACCCAACACCCCATTCCCAGCACCCCACACCTGACACCCAACACCAAACACCCCAAACTCAACACCCCATACCTGGCACCCCATGGACAGCCCTAAACACCCAACATCCCATACCCAGCACCCCATATACAACACCCCATCCCTAACGCTCCATACCCAAGACCCCATTTCCAACACCATACCCCCACCACCCCACTCCCATCACCCCCTTCCCACCGCCCCATACCCACCACCCTACACCAAACACCCACCACCCGGCACCCCATACCCAAAAACCAGATACCCACCACCCCATATCTGACACCCTACACCAAACACCCACCACCCAGAGCACCCCATACCCAAAAACCAGACACCCACCACCCCATATCTGACACCCTACACCAAACACCCACCACCCAGCACCCCATACCCAAAAACCAGACACCCACCACCCCATATCTGACACCCTACACCAAACACCCACCACCCAGCACCCATCACTCCATACCCACCACCCCATTCCCACCCTTCATTCTCACCACCCCAAGCACGAAGCACACCCCAAATCCCCCCCACTCCCCCATACCCGTGCCGGCCGTGTGGGGCTGCAGGCACCATGTGCTGCTCCTTGCAGTGCAGTGCAGCGTAATGCAGTGCAGTGCAGCCTTGGCCTCGCCCGGGCGTTCCCTTCCTGCCTCACCTTTCCAGTTCCACTGCCCCTGATGATGACAGAGCTGCAATTCCTCCTGCTTAACCCTTTGCTGGTGCAGGATGGGGCAGCCTGCAGTGCGTTGCAAAGTGCTTTGCACACACGTGGAGCCCGGAGGGAGGTGGGGCACAAATCCCATTTGTGAACCCGTCCGTAAGACCCACAGGAGCTGCTCTGTGGGGAGCCCCAAAGCTGCACCTTTGCAACACAGATGTTTGCGTGGGGTCCTCCATCAGTGTGCAACGCCTGCTGCAATGCAAACCCCAGATTTGGTGTTTGGTACTGGGGATAGAGCTGTTGTGCACCCCAATGCTGCAGCTTTGCAGCACAGTGAGTTTGCATGGGATGCTCCAGCAGTGAGCAACGCCTGCTGCAATGCAAACCCCAGATTTGGTGCTGGGGGTGGAGCTGCACCTGAGCCTCTCCATGAGCAAAACTCCATGCACCCTAAAGCTGCACCTTTGCAGCACAAAGGTTTGCATGGGATGCACCATCTGTATGCAATCCCCGCTGCAGTGCAAATCCCAGATTTGGCGCTGGGGACGGAACTGCGGTCTGAAAAAATCTGACCTTTTCTCTCAGTGCATTTCCAGGTGCTGGCGCTGCCCTCTGCCTTTATTTCTGCCTTTATTTCAGCACTGTGTGTTGTGAAGCACATTACAGTGAGGCGCAGTGATCTGCAGGCAGTGCCATGAAGCTGCTCCCCCTTCACTGCCTGCACAACTCCGGGCTTGGGGGCCACAGAGCGGGGGTCACAGTGGGGTGAGGGATTCGCTGGTGTCCCGGGGGGGGTCACAGCTCACGTCCTGCTCCTGTGGTTCGGGGGTGCCATGATCACGAGGCCCTGCGTCCGGCCCCACCTGCGGGGATGGCAGCGATGCATGGGGGGGGGGGGGGCTCATCCCCTGATCCCCTCACTCTCTCCCCTCCCCCTCCCCCCCCCAAACTCCATCTCCTTGCATAAAGCTGGGGTTCATCTCCTGACCCCCTCATCCCCAAATCCTGGAATCCAGCTGGGGCTCATCTCCCCCCACCCCCCTCGCCCCTGGCCTCCCCCGTCCCCATGTCCCTGCCCCGTGGCTCATCCTGTGTCCTGCCTTGCATCAGACTGGGCCTATCCCCAGACCCCCATCCCTGCACAAAGCTGGAGCTCAATCACAGACCCCCCCAGCTCCATCTCCTCTATGGGGGCTCTGAGCACCCCAGGGCATCACCCCGTGTGCCTCCACGGGGTGCAGCCCCCTCTGCTTTCCAAACCCCATCCTCAGTGCCATGACCTGGGCTTTGCTCACCTCTGGGGACACATCTGTCCCCTCCACACTCTCCACTGATCCCTCGGTGGGTGGACCCTCCCCTGCCCCCTCCACGGGGCTGGGCTCACTGTCGATGCTGTCCCTCCCACCGGTGCCATCGCTGTCCTCCAGAGCAGCACCGGAGGCCGCAGCGATGGCCTCGGAGAGGATCATGGAAGCCATGGATGCAGCGATGCCCTCCACTCCCCCCCCGGCAGCCCCCTCTGTTTTGGGGCATTCAGGGCACCCACTGCCCACAGACGCCTCCATTTCTTTGGGGCTGAGGTCGATCTCATGACTCTCCTGGCTGCACTCTGACTCTGACGCAGACCCCACACTCGCAGGTGAGGCTGGAGGGGGTCCAGGCATGGGGGCACCCGGCTCAGCTGGACCCGGTGCTGCGGGGCCATTGGGGACATCTTCAGTGGCACCGCTGCCCACCCCGGGGGTCGTTGGTGTCTGCTCTTCTCCTGATGAGGGGTCCCAGTCGGGTGCCTTCTCCGGGCAAGGGTAGACGGCTGGGGGGCTGACGGGGGCTGAGATGAGCAGCGAGCGGCGGTTGCTGCGTGGGGGGATGACAGATTGGGTTCAGCTCCTGTGAGACCCTAAATGCAGCTGGACGCTGCCCTGGGGTCTTGGTGACACCGTGTCCCCAACCCAAATTCATCCCCAGGCATCCCATTCGCTTGGAGGGGCACCAAAGCCAAAGGCCCCAGTTCACCACCAGACACTGGGAGGTGCTCAGCCCCGATTCAACCCTCTAGCACCCAACACCAGGAGATGATCAGCCCCAGTTCAGCCCTGTAGCACCCAATGTCTAGACGCATTCAGCTGCATTTCATCTCTACAGCACCCAAAGCTGGGAGGCACTCAGCCCCAGTTCATCACCCAACACCGGGAGGTGCTCAGCCCCATTTTAACCCTACAGCACCCAACACCACAGGGTGCTGAAATTCAACCCTATGACACCCAATACAGGGTGGCATTCAGCACCAGTCCACCACCCAATATCAGGAGGTGCTCAACCCAAGTTCAACCCTATATAACACCCAACGTTGGGAGATGCTCAGCCCCAATTCAGCCCTACAGCACCCAATGCCTAGACACGCTCAGCTCCAACTCATCTCTACAGCATCCAGTGTTGGGAGGCGCTCATCCCTATAATGCTCAGTTCTGGGAGGTGCTCAGCCCCAGTTCATCCTTCTAACGCCCAACATCAAGAGATGCTCAGCATCAGTTCAACCCTGTAGCCCTCAACAGCAGGAGGTGCTGCAATTCAGCCCTATGGCACCCAGCACTGGGAGGTGTTCAGCCCCAGTTCATCACCCAACATGAGGAGATGCTCAGCCCCAATTCATCCCTACAGAACCCAACGTCAGGAGGTGCTCATCCATCCCCATTGGTCACAGGAAGAAATAGAGGAGGGCGTTACATCCACCCACTTTTTGGGGGAGGGGGCTCTGGGGCACCATGGGACCCCCCATTACCTGGAGACACCTTTGATGATGAAGACTTTGCTGGAGTGCTGCTTGTCAAGTTTCCCCATCACTTCGTAGAGGTCACGGTTGAGCTGTGTGGGGGGAGAGAAACTCATCAGAGCCCCCCGGGACCCCCGTGGGTGGGGCTGCATCCCACAAAGGGCAAATTTGGGTTAAAAAGAGGTCAAATGGAGGCCGGAAAGCACCAGCTGCGAGGAAATCGCTTCTCCCATCCTTCCTCTCTCTGATTCCCTTTGGGGGTGTATTTGATCCCCACAGAAGAAGCAAAACTCCAAAACTCTTCCTATATATTTTTTCCCCCCACCATTGAAACGATGGATAAAAAGCCTTTTTTTTTCATCCCCAGATTTGGTGGTGAAGCAGCGCTGTTCATTGCTGACGACAGCACCGGAGCGCTGGAGGTGATGCAAATCCCCACCAGCCCCAGAGAGCGGCGCAGAACCAGCAGAATGGGGGGGGAGGGGGGGTCTTTAGGGGGCTTTGGGGTCCCACCTTGCTCATCTCTTTGTAGAAGATGTCACGCAGGTTGGAGATGTTCTGGAAGATGGTGACGTAGCAGGCAATGCGGCTGCAGGGAGAAATGGGGCACGAGGAGGAGGGGGCTGGAGGGGTGCAGCTCCTGACCCCCGTCTTTGGGGAGGGGATAAATGAGGGGGGGTGAAAATGGGATGAATGGGGACGGCTGTTTGGGACAGCACTGCATCCCAGTGGGGTGGTTGGTTTTTTTGGGGGGGGAAGTTGGAATGCTGCATGTGTGTTTGCAAAGCTTTTTCAGGGGGGAGTTTGGGGAGGGGGCTGCGGGTTGGGGCAGCTCAGTACCTCCCATACAGCACGGGCAGCTCCTCCCGCAGCTCCCGGTTCAGCTCCTCAAACACCGCCTGCGCTCTGTTGAACTCCTCCTCAGCCTGTGTGGGTCCGGAGCAGTTATGGGGCTTAGGGGGGGTGTCAGTGGGGCACAGCCCTCTCCCGGAGGAGCTTGAACCCACCTTGGCGATCTTGGCCTCATCCTTCTTCTTGGCGTTCTGCAGTGCTTCCAGGTGGTGCCGGGCGCTGTCGTAGTCCACCAGCTTGCGGCTGCGTTTGGCGATGCGCTCCTGAGTGGGGCAGAGGCCTCAGAGAGACGGAAAAGTGCCGTGCCGTGCCGTGCTGTGCTGGGCCGTGCCATGCCATGCCATGCAATTCTATGCCATGCTGTGCCATGCCATGCCATGCCATGCAATTCTATGCCATGATGTGCCATGCCACGTCATGCTGTGCCATGCCATGCAATTCTGTGCTATGCCATGCCATGCCATGCAATTCTGTGCTATGCCATGCTACACCATGCTGTGCCATGCCATGCCATGCTGTGCCATGCCATGCAATTCTATGCCATGCTGTGCTATGCCACATCATACTATGCCATGCCATGCCATGCAATTCTGTGCTATGCTGTGCTATGCCACATCACGCCATGCCATGCCATACCATGCAATTCTGTGCTATGCTGTGCTATGCCACATCATGCCATGCCATGCCATACCATGCAATTATATGCCATGCTGTGCTATGCCACATCATGCCATGCCATGCCATACCATGCAATTCTGTGCCATGCTGTGCTATGCCACATCATGCCATGCCATGCCATACCATGCAATTCTGTGCCATGCTGTGCTATGCCACATCACGCCATGCCATGCCAACGGCCACTCTGAGCCTTTCTGCACCATGCTATGCCATGCCATGATGCACAATGTCATGCTGTGCCATGTGTCACCCGAAACCACATGCTGTGCCATGCGGTTCCATACCGTGTTGTTGTACCATGCTGTGCTGTGCCATGCGATGCTGCACCAGGCCGTGCCATACCATGCTGTGCTATGCCTTGTTGTGCCATCCCCTCCCATCCTACACCACACTATGCCACGTCACGCCGTGTTGTGCCATACTGCACTTTACCATGCCATGCCCTGCCACACCACAGCATCTCATCTCATCCCATCCCACCCCATCCCATGCCATGCCCTGCCACACAGTCACACCCCACGTGCCTTAATGTCCCCAAACTGAGCCAGGTAGTTCTCCATCAGGCGCAGCGCCTGGTCGCCCAGCTTCGCCTCATAGTCTTCCCACAGCAAGTCGTTGCTCTGCAGGAGGGAAAGGGATGGGAATCAGGGACGTGCCGGGCTCTGTCCCCATGGACTCATCCCCGTGACCCCAACCCTCAGAGGACAGCAGTGCTCACGTCTGCGATGGCCTTCAGCTCCACATGTCCGTCCCATTCGGTGCTGTAGATCTCCTGCAGCGTTTCGGTCACTTTTCGTGAGCTCTCGTGCATCACTGCAGGGATTGGGGGGGGGTTGCAAAAGTTGGGATTCGTGGTGAGGAAATGCAGCACGGGGCCTGACAACCCCCCACCCTCCACCCCCCCCGGATGCTCTGTGCTTCACTGCCCATGGTGTGCAAAAGGAGCATTGCTCTGTACCTTTCACTGCGCCGACAAGAGCCTTCAGGTCTTTGTAGAGTTTGTTGCCTTCATTCTGTAAAGCAATTTTATTGGGGGGGGGAAGGGGGCAGGTTGGAGCCCCTGGGGTGGGGATGCCCTCGAGCCCAAAGAGAGTGTGGGGAGTGGGGGGGGTGGAATGGGATGGGGGTGCGTTGGGGATGGGACAGTGATGGCATGGGGGTGGCACTGGGGTTGGATGGGGATGGAGCAGGGATGGCAT